CTTACACAATTGTTTTATCCTCAAGGAGTCGTTGTAGATCAATTGGGTACTGTCTATGTGACGGATTACGGTAATCATCGAATCATGCGTTGGCCAAAAGGAGCCACACAAGGAAGTGTCATTATTGGTCGAAACGGTTGGGGAGCACGGTCAAATCAACTCAATTATCCCACAGGTTTATCATTCGATCGACATGGCAATCTCTATGTCGCCGATTGGAGAAATGAACGAGTACAAAAATTTAATATCGAATGAACTCAATACGATGATGAATTTTATTTTCTTTTTGTTTTCTTTCTCCTTCAAATAAATCGTGATTCAATGAAAAAAACGATTTCATAGCTATTCTATTCTCTTCGCGCGCGCGCGCAGGAACCATCCTAGTGGAACGTAAGTAATGTTAGCACCAGATTCGCGTGTTTCCTGTCTTTATTCGCCCCTACGTCTGTGCTGTTTTCCTGCTCGATTGTGCTGAATGCAGAATTTAATTCTCTATCGAATGATAACAACTTCGACCAAGGTCGTCGACCATAAAATAGGGTCTACCACCAAAAAAAATATTTTCGCTCGATGTCATGAATTCGGAAAACATGTAATTCCTGTCCCGATTCGCGCATACACCTGTGCTGTTCTGCTCTGCGCTTGTACTACATGCAGAAGTTTACACTCTATCCCATGGTACAAGTTTTCGATAGCCTCGTCGTCGAAAAGGTTGTGATTTCCGGCGAAATACCATCCCCAAAACCACTTTTTTACATTATCTCCTCCCCGGATTCGAAAATCGACCTGTGCCGTTTCCATCGTTGCTTGTGCTGGATGCAGAATTTAATTCTCTATCGAATGGTCGTATTTTCAAGTAAAACCAAAAGAAGGAACGCGAGTTAATGTGCTGATACCTACCCGAATAGAGCCCACGAACAAACCTGCCCCACTATCTCAATCCCTGACGTGGTGCTCTCTGTCTATTGGCTTATCCTGAGTGTAGAATTCGATTCTCTATCGAATGGTGGTATTTTCAAGTAAAACCAAACGGAGAAACGGGAGTTAATGGGCTGCTGCCTACCCCAATCGACCCTTACAACAAAAAGCTGACCGTGTCTCTCAATTCCTGACATTGTGCTCTCTCTCGGGCTCCTTGTCCTGAGTGTAGAATTCGATTCTCTATCGAATGGTCGTATTTTCAAGTAAAACCAAAGGAAGGAACGGGAGTTAATGGGCTGCTACCTAGCCCAATGGACCCTTCCACAAAACCTGACCGTGTATTGAATTCCATGACGTTGTGCTCGCTGTCATTTGGCTTGTGCTGAGTGTAGAATTCAATTCTCTATCGAATGGTGGTATTTTCAAGTAAAACCAAAGGAACGAACGCGACTTAATGGGCTGATACCTAGTCCAATGGACCCTTCCAACAAAACCTGACCGTGTATTTAATTCCTTGACGTTGTGCTCTCTGTCACTTAGCTTGTGCTCAGTGTAGAATTCGATTCTCTATCGAATGCTGGTATTTTCAAGCAAAACCAAAGAAAGGATCGGGAGTTAATGGGCTGATAAATAGCCCAATGGACATTTCACACAAACGTGACACACTCTCTCAAGCCCAGACGTTGTGCTCTCCCTCGGATACCTTGTGCTGAGTGTAGAATTCGATTCGTCATCGAATGGTGGTATTTTCAACTAAAAGCAAACGAAGACACGGGAGTTAATGGGCTGATACCTAACCCAGCGGACCTTTCGAACAAAACCTGACCCTGTATCTCAATCCCTGACGTTGTGCTCTCTCTCAGGTGTCTTGTGCCGAGTGTAGAATTCGACTCTCTATCGAATAGTGCTATTTTCAAGTAAAACCAAACGAAGAAACGGGAGTTAATGGGCTTATACCTAACCAAATCGACGCTACCAACAAACCTGCCGCACTATCTCAATCCCTCACGTTGTACTCTCTGTCACTTAGCTTGTGCTGAGTGTAGAATTTCATTCTCTTTCGAATGGCGGTATTTTCAAGCAAAACCAAAGGAAGGAATGGGAGTTAATGGGCTGATACCTAGCCCAATGGACCATTCCAACAAAACCTGACCCTGTATCTCAATCTCTGACGTTGTGCTCTCTCTCAGGTGTATTGTTCCGAGTGTAGAATTCGATTCTCTCTCTATCGAATGAGGGTATTTTCAAGTAAAAGCAAAGGAAGAACTGGGAGTTAATGGGCTGATTTCTAACCCAATCGACCCTCTGCAAAACCTGCCCCAGTATGTCAATCACTGACGTTGTGCTCTCTGTCAGTTGGCTTGTCCTGAGTGTAGAATTCGACTCTCTATCGAATGAGGGTATTTTCAAGTAAAAGCAAAGGAAAGACTGGGAGTTAATGGGCTGATTTCTACCCCAATCGACCCTGTGCACAAACCTGCCCCAGTATGTCAATCACTGACGTTGTGCTCTCTGTCGGTTGGCTTGTCCTGAGTCTAGAGTTCGAGTCTCTATCGAATCGGGGTATTTGCAACACTCGGCACAAGCCCCCTGAGAGAGAGCACAACGTCAGGGATTGAGATACGCGATCAGGTTTTGTTGGAAGGGTGCATTGGGTTACGTATCAGCCCATTAACTCCCGTTCCTTCCTTTGGTTGTACTTGAAAGTACGACCATTCGATAGAGAATTAAATTCTGCATCCAGCACAAGCAACGATGGAAACAGCACAGGTCGATTTTCGAATTCGGGGAGGAGATAATGTAAAAAAGTGGTTTTTGGGATGGTATATGGCCGGAAACGCCAATTTTTTGGACGATGAGGCTATGGAAAACTTGTACCATGGGGTAGAGCGTAAAATTCTGCATCTAGCACAAGCGAAGAGCAGAACAGCACAGGTGTATGCGCGAATCGGGACAGGAATTACATGTTTTCCGAATTCATGACTTCGAGCGAAAATCAGTTTTTTGGTGGTCGACCCTATTTTATGGTCGACGACCTTGGTCGAAGTTGTTACCATTCGATAGAGAATTAAATTCTGCATTCAGCGCAATCGGGTAGGAAAACAGCACAGACGTAGGGGCGAATAAAGACAGGAAACACGCGAATCTGGTGCTAACATTACTCACGTCCTAGTGGAGCCGTGGCGAGCGTAAAGCTCATACACGCGCGGGAAGACCCACATCATCCACATGCACCCTTCCGATGTCATATGTCAACGTAGGTGAAGTTAGCTCCATACTCGAGTATAACCTTCCCATATTCGTCCAGGAATGTGGTCCAAGTGTTCCAGCCCGGTTCCAAGTACAACGCGACGAGCTCTATCCAATGGTAACCTTGGATTTTCCGTAGCCGAAACCAATCATGAGAAAAATCCAAAATGCTGCACTTTTCTATGGCAAAAGGCAAACATACTTACTAAAACCTTCCTATATTCATCCAGGAACGTGTTCCAAGTGTTCCAACGCAGTTGCAAGTACAACTCGACGAACTCTATCGAATGGTGACCTTGGATCAATCGTAATTCAAACCATCGGTGCGAAAATCCCAAAATAGTACCTTTTCACTATCTTTACGGTGACTAAAACCTTCCCATATTCGTCCAGGAACGTGTTCCAAGTGTTCCAGCCCGGTTGCAAGTACAACTCGACGAGCTCTGTCTAATGGTAACATTGAATCAACCATAACCTAAACCATTTGTGAGAAAATCCGAAAATAGCACCTTTTCAATATGTGTATGGTCACTAAAACCTTCCCATATTCGTCCAGGAGCGTGTTCCAAGTGTTCCAGTCCGGTTCCAACTACAACTCGCCCAGCTCTATGTAATGGCAACCTTTGATCAACCGTAATCCAAACCACTGGTGAGAAAATCCCAAAAAAGTATTTTTTCACTATGTGTATGGACACTGAAACCTTCCTATATTCGTCCAGGAATGTGTTTCCAGTGTCCCAACCAGATGCCAAGTAGAACTCGACGAGCTCTATCTAATGGTGACCTTGGTTCAATCCTAATCCAAAGCATTGATGAGAAAATCGCAAAATATTACCTTTCCGCAATTTGTGTGATCACGAAAACCTTCCCATATTCGGGTGTGGGTGTGTGGCATGTAGGCGTGAGGTGTGGGTGGGTGTGGGTGTGGTTGCAAACGATACCGGCACCAACTCCCACATCCACACCCACACCCTTAGCCATACCCACACCCACACGTCTACACACGCTCACCCACACATGCCACACGCACACACACACCCACACCCACACGTCTACACACGCACATCCACACATGCCACACCCACACCCACACCCACACCCCATACCCACACCCACACCCCATACCCACACCCACACCCACACCCACACCCTTTGAGAAAAACGCACAACAATTTTTTTCAATAACGTAAATATATAGCGACGACCGTACTTTGTGGAAGAAATCGAAAACATGAATATTTGATTATTTGAAGTTTCAACCATTCAATAATCGAAGAACTGAAGAATTGATGAGATAAAATATGAGAATAATTAAATTCAAGTTTCGAGTTTGACACAACTGAAGTGTGGCTATGGGCATTATTAGATAGACGACGAACTATCTTGTATAATATTTGGTTTCATCTTAACTCCGAAGCTTTCACACCAAGATCAGATTTCTTGAGACTACGGAATTCATGTTTTTTGCATGCTTAGCAGAAATCCTCTAAGTCAAGAATCAAATGCCCAAACATTCTAAAATTTTCTGGTTAATCAGTAGCGTGTATGAGTTTATAGTGCCGAAAATTTTAAGTGTGTACAGTCTCTTATGACTGAGTTGTAAGATTTCCAGTTAATTATTCAAGATCTCTGTGTTCAAATGATTTTAGGCTTTTTACGATCCCGATATTCGTTATCGAACGATGTATGAGTGAAGAGATCGGAGTTCGACACCTCC